CTGATATGAATGTATCAGAATCCTCTTGCATGGACAAGACATATCTTAACATGTTAAAAAGCGCTACCATACCTTTTCCCAGGAAGATTGATGCATTGAACATGTAGAATAAAATTGAGCTACTGCGTTTACTACTTAACTGTAACATGCTTACTAAGACAGAGCAATTAGTGCAAGGCTCCTTACTGGATGGCATTTTGGAATGCTTGCAAGTTTTGGCAGTTATGAATAAAGCTGTTATAAGCATCCATATGCAGTTTTTCAAGGGGCACATGTATTTACATAGAATAGTCTATTCAAACTAAATGTAAAATAAACTACTTCTTATAATCTTTTACTAGACCATTTAAATAAGCTATTTTGATAATTTTGGTGTATAGAACATTTTATTATTTGTGGAAGTCACCATTTTATCCAATGGGTCATTACCTTAAACCTCTTCTCTAAGTCAGCCTTGTACCTTTTGATTAACATCTTATCAAGGTATGTTATCATGGCCTCTGGTAACTATGATAAAATTCTCTCCTTTAAGAGTCTGACATTTTCAGATTACACAGATCAGTAAGAACATGCAATATGTGTGTGGTGCATATGTGTACACCTTTGTATGGATGTGTAAATTCTGGATACCTTTCCCAATAGCTCAGCACATTATTTTTTGAGAAAAAAAGCTTACTGAATCTGGAGCTCACTGATTGGCTAGGCTAATGGGCAATTGCTTACCTTCAGCTATATCCTGTCTCTACCTCCCTAGTGGTGAGATTATATATGTGCTTCCATACCAGAATTTTGGGGCTTCATTATGTGTTTATGGAGTCATGCATTTTGCTATTTACAATTGATATGGGGGATAGAAGCTGAAGTGGACACTCTATAAGAAACCTCTCTATAGAGAGCACTTTTCTGAGGCTGGAATCAGGTCTACAAGGTATTCAAAAGATTTTCAAAAGATTTAGATATCCCAAAGGCCACTAAAATTTGTAGCTAACTTGCAGAATGTAAAACTATTTTAATTTAAAAGATATATTTTCACCTGATTTGCAGTTACACACACACACACACACACACACACACACACACACACACACACACACACTTTGTTGAAAAAGTCATATACCTTGTAGAGATTGCCTGAAACTAAGAATATTTGCTTTGATTTTTAGCTAAAGCTCAAATGTGTGGTGAATTTTGTGGCATTTCAAAGCATCCTACTGCTTGGAAAGATACTATTTTCTATCAGTGTACTTGTACCCTGAATCATGATCACATCTATAGATAACAAAGTTGAATTTTCTGGGGCTTTAGATGGGAGAAACAAGGCACTTAACAATTTCAGCTTTCCTTCTATATCATGTATACATCTGTTCTCAAAGAAGTTTATCACTCTTAAGATTCTTGACCCAAAGATCAGAGCAAGTGTGACCTAAAGGACCCTTTGTTAGGATTCCAGAATGTTCAAAAAGATTCCATGTAGATATTTACTGTTATATTGAGGATTTTCTAAAAATCATAACAACAAAATCTTCTAGAAGCTTAATCACATAGATATTGTTAATACAAAATTGAGAAACATATTTCAAAAATATAGACATGGACTGTGTACACAATGATAGTCCCAAAAACTAAAGTCATCTGATGACAAGGTAACTGCCTTGAGTATGCTTTATCATGTCTATACAATGACTGAACACCTCATCAGGTTTTTCTCAGAAAAAGGTATTGCTCACTACTATAAGAAAGGGAATGGCTTTGCCCAACAGGAGGTGTCTAAATAGTATATAGAAAAGGTATGCTGAATTCAGGAGATTGATGATGGAAAATGTCTTATGTTGCTCGAAGGGATGTAATGGATAAAACTGAAGACTCTCCTTGGGCTTCAGTTTTTGCAGTATCTGTGAAGTCAGATGTTTCCTGTGGAAAGGATGATAGCTTCTCTCTTCTGTCTTCTGTCTTCTAAGACAGAAGCTAGATAACAGTTAGGAAAAACTATATCCACAAACAGCAATGAATGAGTGAGCCACTTGTAAGGAGCCAAGGACTTTGAATGTCCTGTAGAAGAGTACAGGGCCACTAGCAAGGAGCAGCCCAAGGCTTCATTGGGAACACTGCTGGTTTTCCATGTAACTGTGCTTTGGCAGAACTCCAAACATTTTGGGACCCAGGACTCTAATTAAGTTTGGGTGACTATTACAAGTACAGTGTTCCTCAAATACTATGGAGTGTGTGTGTGTGTGTGTGTGTGTGTGTGTGTGTGTGTGTGTGTATGTGTGTGTGTGTGTGTGTGTGTGTGTGTGTGTGTGTGTGTGTGTGTGTTATGTGTTTAGAGACTTGACTATTTTTTAAACTTAGAAATATTTAATTTTTGTGTACACGCACCAGCACCATTTACATGCTTCATGCCCATGGAAACAGAAGAAGGCATTGGATCTTCTGGAACTGGAGTCATTGACAGTTTTATACTGAGAACTGAGCCATGATCCTTTGCAAAACCAGCAGGTACTCTTAAATGCTGATCCATCTCTCCAGCCATACTCTTTTAATTCATATGTTTCTGGAGCAAGAGAAGTTTGCATTCCAGGAGTCACATTGCATGCAACATGGATGAAAAGAAACTAAATTTTGAGCTTTGTTTCACTAGAGTAAATCATGGGTGACACTGGTTTGGTGAGAGAACTTTCCATATGAGAGGGAAAAGATCATTGGAGTCACAGTGAATCATATTGACTGTTGCAGTAGACATTCCTGTATGAGTCAAAGCTTTCTTGATATTCTATGTACTGGGCAGGGTTCTGACACTTGGTTTGCTTTGGTTATGGGAGCAGTAGCACACTTGACGCTGGCACAGTCTTAGAAATTTGCTACAACCTTGAGGAACCATGTATTGCTCTTGGAATTTGCCACTATGTCAGCCTGAAAAATCAGTGGGCTGAACTAGTGTGTTATTCCTACTGACACTCAGTGAACAAACATGCTGAAGTCCATATGGAACACTAGTTCTACAAGCAGACATGAAAAGTGTGACTATGTCAAAAATAGAAGTTTAAAGATAACATATGAGTTACTTTGAGGTTTCCATGCCTCATAAAATTTCTTTCAGTTTCTATTTGTGTGTGTGTGTGTGTGTGTGTGTGTGTGTGTGTGTATGTATATTTATGTTTGCAGCAAGGCCCTGCAATTCAGCTGTAACATATCCCACCCCCATTGCTACAGGTGGGCTTTCTACAGGGGTATTGGGTAGGCAAACTTGGGTCTTCATGCTCATGCAGCAAGTATTGTCACCCATAGTGCCATCTGTCCAAATATTTTACAGCATCTTAGTCAATGATAAATGAGTTTTGTGCCAGAGTGATGACACATGCTTATAATCCCAGGGCTTGAGAGTTAGAAGCAAGAGTATTAAGAGTTCAGCACCTTATTTGACCATATAGTAAGTTCAAGGCTACTCTGGGCTCATGGGACCCTCTATTAAAATAAAATAAAATAAAATATGTGATCTTTTAAATTTGTAATAAACAGGAAAATAGGAGATGTCTAACACTGAGGTATATAGTGTTGAAGTTATCATACTTTTAAAAATATTTATATTTGTTTATATTAGTGTTTCCTAATGGAAATTTTGTGATTTTTGTTCATTGTTTCATTTATCAAGTTTTCAAAATAGGAATATATTTACATTTTGTTCTAATTCTTATTGTTTCAACATTCATGGCCTTATCTACATGAAGGTAAACCATATGACTGAGAAAGGGTGCCACTTATTTTCATATTTTATAAGAGATCAGTAGATATTTATAACCAAGTATGTCTTAGCTTTTTATTTTACATAATTTGTATTGCCACTTTTTACAAACACTCATATGACAAAAGTCCCTGTAAAGTATATTGACAATGAGATTCTTACATTTGTAGTAGCATCTCCTTCCAGATGACACACATTTCCTAAGTTTTTATCACCTGTCCTCTGTCCTCCAAATGCTATCATTCTGTGGTTATTACTACCATCTCTGAAACAAAGAAATAATATATTTCTTAAGTACTTGCTGGGAATATCTGAAAATATATAATTTGGGATGTTCATACACTTGCCATGACTGACAGTGACATCACTTTTCAAGCTGATGGAGTTCTGGCATAGGTCTTATAGCAACAGATGCTCTTTGGGGACTTTACCACATGAGCTGTGAAGGCTGCATTGTAAAGGACAGATGTTTTGGCTCACTAAATATAGAAAAACAATGCATACTGAATGAAAATGAATTTTCTTATGACTGAATATCTCTTAAAGGTTTTGTTATAGTTTGTTCTACAGTTGCAACTTTGGTAGGAAAGGTTTTATCTAATGACACAGGTACTGTCCACCATCAAGGGGAGCCAAGGCAGGAACTCAAGGCAGCAGCTTGCAACAAAACGGCCACAGAGGAATGCTATTTCCCAGCTTGTTCTCTCTCCCCCCATTCCCCCTGTTAGCTTCATTTTCTTCTGCTTTCTTTTACAGCTAGGACCATCTGCCTGGAAATAGTACCACTCACAGTAGGTTGGGTTTTCCTATATCAATTAACAATAAAGTTAAAGCCTCAATGAAATGGGTATAGGCTGATGTCACCAAGACAATTCTTCTGATGAGCTTCTGTTCTTCCCAAATGATTCTATGTTTATGTTAAATGGATAGCTGAAACTAACTATGACAAGTATATGCTGGAGACTTTGACTTCTATTTCCAGATATAATGGAATGAGTGACACAGGGATAGCCCATTCCCATTTATAATGACAATGCCATGTTTATTTCTCAGGATTGGAACCAATAGCCTAGTCCTGACATGTGTGAGATGCATTCGTTGAAGAAATCTCATGAGTTGTGTCCTCCAGTTCACTGATTCTTGGTGAGAACAATTTCCAAATTCAGAGAAAACTCTGGAATCCCTGAATAGTTCTAAGATCATGATGAGCTGAGGGGCTGATCTCAGAGTCTAGGAGAGCTGAGGTAACTGGAATTTGAGAATGTTGGCTCCAGAGAATGAGTGGTTGCACTGTATGAGGCAGAATTTCAAGCTGTGTTCTGCAGTTCTCACACCTAGTTTGAAGAAATCCTATCAGAAGGATGAAATTGAGCTAATGTCAAGGGTGGAGAAAGTATGCAAAGGATAAAGTTGTGCTAGTGTCTGATGAGTTGTTAACCTAATTGGAATAGAGAAAACTCAACATCTCATTGAAAATCCATCATGAAGATAAAACAAGGGTAGGCCAGTATAAGGACAGTATACTGTTGTGTGCAAGTCTCAGACTCCCACTCTACTGCTAGGCAGTATCTTGACGACAGATGTCAGAACAGTCTATTTGTGGTCAAGAGCATAAAAGCAGCTTAGGAAAATATCGGGTACTTTTCAAAGGAAGTGCTCAAAGAGAAATTGATAGTAACTATTCCTGTAAACTATTATAAAAGAATATATACAAAAATCAATAAGAAGTGTATATACTCCAGGAAAGCAGAGAAAGAGAAATAAATGTGCCAGATATGAAGAAAACAAAGCAGTCAGAGCAGGTATTCATTGAATTCAGATAAGAAAAGTAGCAACTCAGTTTGAAAACCTAATTTTTAAGACACAAACCAATACTAATAAACTAGGCAGAAAAGTACAAGGTCTGAATATTAGAAACAAAGTAAGGACATCATGTCCTACAGTCTTTTGAACAACTTTATGCAAATGATTTGAGCAACAGAGACTCTTTGGAAACACAAATTGCCAATTACATTTGAGACAGTATACTTGAACAAATGTCTATGTGTTAAAAACTATTTTAGTTTAGATGTACTTACAAAGGTATACTTGGCCTTTAGTTTCAGTGGGTGGCATAAAAAATGCCAGTTTGACACAAACCCTTCATTTGTTAATGACAGCATTAATATAATACCGAGCTAAAAATATTATAGGAAAATTACTGGTTATTAGCCTGCATAAATACAGACTTGGATTTTTTTTTTTGAGAAAATATGAATCTATAGAATCCAGTAACATGTAAAATGACCAGCTGGTACTTGTTCCAAGAATGCAAGTATATTTCAGACTTAAAATTAAGTAAAGTATTATACTTTTGGTTGTGATCCTTGCCTTTAATGGCACAACCCAGGCTGATGCTAGGACAGAGGGTGGCTCTCTATGAACTGTCAGCGGAGGCCCCATTGTTGAAGATAACATCCACTCAGCTTAATGAAGATAGAGAGGTAGAGTTGCTGCCTACAGCCAACTTTCACCCTATGTTCTAGACTCTTTGGTGCAGGAAGGTACTTTGCAAGCTATGCAAAGAGAAACCTGGACACCAACTTAGCCACAAAAAACCCTGACCTATAATCTGTCCTGCCTGAAAGATATGCTGGGGCAATGATGGCACAGAACTTGTGGGAGTGGCCAGCCAATGTCTGATTTAACTTGAGGCTCAACCAAGAGAGGCAGCCCATTTCCCACACTCCCTGAATGTACAGGAACCTGAGACTGAATAGCCCAGAGATGAAAAAAATCAATGAAGTGACTCCTAATAATATTCTGCTATACTCATATATAGGTACCTTGTCCAGTCATCATCAGAGACTTCCTCCCTCAGAAGATGGGAGTGGGCACAGAGACCCATAGCCAGACATTATGTGGACAGAGAGCCTAAACTGAAGGTCTTCATCAGGTCCCTTCCCTTGGAGATTGGGGAACTCTGAAGAAGAAGAAGAAGAAGAAGAAGGAGGAGGAGGAGGAGGAGGAGGAGGAGGAGGAGGAGGAGGAAAGGAAAAATTGTAGAGTCAGAGAAGACACCAGGAGAACATGACCCCCCCCCCCATTGAATCTACTAAGCAGGGCTCATATGATCTCACAGAGACTAAAGTGGCAAGCATGGGACCTTAAGTGGTCTGCACCAGGTCCTCTGGGTGTATGTTATGGCTATCAGTTCAGTGTTTTGTGGGACTCCTAACAGTGGGAACAGATGTATCTGAGTCCTTTATGTGTTCTTGGGACTCTTTTCCTCCTATTGAGTTGCCTTGTCCAGTCTTGGTAGGAGGGCTATTGTCTTGTCTTATTGTATCTTGTATGGTCATGTTTGCTCGTTGTCTTTTGGAGGCCTGCTCTTTTTGGAAGGGTAAATGGGGGAATGAATTTGAGGAAGAGGGTGGGGGATCTAGGAAGAGTGGAAGGAGGTGAAACTTTTGTCAGGATGTATTATATGAGAGAAAAATCTATTTTCAATAATTAATAAATAATTAGATAATAGATGATACTCAACATATAAAATTGACAAAATTAATTGAATCTATAAATGGATTTAAAGAAAAGATGTGTGATTATCTTAATAGATTTAGAGGACTCTGTTGCAAATTCAAAACCAATTCTAAAATGACCCTTTAGAAAAGAAGACATCCAGGAACTACAGAAATATAAAAAATACAGCTATTCTCACACTAGATTGAATGATGAACCTATGATTAGCAGCAGACAGAGGCCTGTCCTCTCTATTCGTGTTGGCATGGATATTTTGGATAAAATAATAAGGTGCCTTATATAGACATTCCCTCTAATTGAAAACTTCCTTTTTGGAGAACAGAGGGAGATTCCTAAGACTTGGGGAGTAAATGAAATACAGTAGAAGATCCCCTTGGCCCCTTTTAGAGATTATGTAAGCCATAAACAATTGCTGGGGAAGGTAAGGCTTTTCAACGGAGTGCCTTGAAAATTTGAGGGAGCTATGGAGATGCAACTTAGTGAGTGATCTCTCTTACTGAAATGGGCTTTTTGCTGTGGAAGATGCCTTTAAGTTACCCATGGGCTTGTAAGTAATTGCAATAACCTCACTGGCTCACAAGGCAACACTTGCGTCTCAGTGGTGTCCTATCCAGAACAAACTAATGTTAGTTATGTTTTCTATAAGAAATGTAATGCAGGAAGCTGATATAATATGGTTGATTTATTTACATAGAGTATAACTTTTGTAATAGAAAAATTCAAAGTAATAAGTTTGACAGTGGAACAGATTATTGGAGAAATATCAATGGTCGTACTCTGGTATAATTTCTCTAAAAAATAAAATTCAGCTTGAAAGCATTTTCTTTTGAAAATTCTTTATGTTTTTCAAATGGCATATAATGTGCTGGATAACACCATGACATTTTAAACCAAAGTATGTTTTACTTTAGGGTTAAAAATATAATTTAATTCCTTCTTGACTTCATTTGTAGAAGATAAGAATTCAACTATCATTTTATATTTCCAGGTCTTTTTTTCATAAATACACCTTTGTTATTATCTCACAAATAGATGTAAGTCCACTTCATAAAATTATTGGAGTGCACATATGGAACTTGTTTAAATTCATCTTGTGTTAAGTTCACTGAGCTCCTTATGACTCAAGTTTAAAGCTTTCACTCATTTTGAAACCTTCTTTCACATTATCTCTTCAGTTATTTCCTTCTCTTCTCCTTTTTGGGTTTAACTTTCACATTTTTGACTTATACTTTTATTCTATCTTCTGTTCACTTTTATTAGCCTAATTTTTGTTCAAGTTTTTATTATTCATTTGTGTGTAGCTGTTGTGTTTATAAAATGATCCTACTCCTGCTGCGTCTATTTAGCTTTTAGTATTATGTTTTTATTTTTCCGTGACTGTGTTTCTAGATTTAGAAATCACTGTCCATTTTTGCTACTAATTTTTAAGACTGTATTTCCATGGGGTTTAAGGGATTTTGTCTCTTGAAAAAGTTTGGTCACTGGAGAGATGGCTCAGAGGTAAAGAGCACTGACTGCTCTTCCAGGGGTCCTGAGTTCAATTCCCAGCAACCACATGGTGGCTCACAAACATCTACAATTCAATCTGGTACCCTTTTCTGGCATGTAGGCAGAACACGGTATATGTAATAAATCTTTAAAAAAAGGATAAAAAAAAGAAAAATGTTGGTTACGAAATGAAATAATCATATCTCAAATTATTGGAGAATTATTGAACAAAGTCCAAACCATCCATAAAACCATTTATGTTTTTACTGACATTTCACATGTGAATTGAGTATGCTTCTCAGTTTTCAAGTTGAGCTGGCCTGGAACATGCACTTGGTCATTACACTTACCTCTTTCTCTGTATTTTGGTAAGTATGGGTGGTCCTCAGGCTTAGCTCTAGGATGATCTGTAGCACAAATAGTCTTTAGCTGAATGAAAAATTCACTTCTTGAGCCCCATCCATACCTATTCCACTAGAAAAACAAATACAGACACACTAATGGGCATTACCCGGGGACATCTTGAAAGGACACCTGCTGCAGGCCAATTGGCAGATGAACTCACTCAGCAATTTTCTCTCCATTTGACATTTTTCTTGCATATCACCAAACTGTCTTTTTAGAACACATAGTGTTAAAGCTACATCATAGACTCCTCCCCATCTTGTTGTCTTCCTCCATAAATATTTTATTACAATAAAATAGTTATGCATATAGCTTCTTTCTCTTTTTTCCAAAATATAGCACGAGACTAAGGAAAGTATCTTCTTAAAACAGAAGTGTTTTCCCCACTAGCCAAGAACATAAAATTACCTTCAAGTAGCTACATTTTACAGCTATGAGTGCTGCTTTTATTAAAATAGATATAAAATAGATTAAGTACAATGTAGTGCATCCACTTTACTAAACTGTAAGAGTGTGATGAAAGACTGCCCTTGATTAATTAGAATGGTTGGCAGACTCATAGAACAGTTCTCCAGTCTTAGACCTCTTGTATATCACCTTAAAATTAATTTGAATTCAGAAATACATCACTTAGACAAATTTATCTTAGATGCCGTGTGTGTGTGTGTGTGTGTGTGTGTGTGTGTGTGTGTTCCTGGGATTAAGAGCCTTCTGAAGCAATAGTCCTTTACAGATTTTATGATATGGAAAACCTCTATCTAAGACTTCTGCTACACCAGAATACAACAATATTGCCTAATGTAGCCATGCCTACTTAGGATCTGCCACATCCTCAATCTGTATCGGCGGAACACATGGCTGTACCAGGCCCTATGAGAAGGCACACGGGTTCAGAGCGTGGAACAGATCCGTGAGGTTGCATCAGGGGCTGCTCGGATCCGAGGGGAAACACTGGGCCTCATCGGTTTTGGTAGCACCGGGCAGGCAGTTGCAGTTCGAGCCAAGGCCTTTGGATTCAGCGTCATATTTTATGACCCCTACTTACAGGATGGGATAGAGCAGTCTCTGGGCATGCAAAGGGTCTACACCCTACAAGACCTACTGTATCAGAGTGACTGTGTCTCCCTATATTACAATCTGAATGAGCATAACCACCACCTCATCAACGACTTGACTATCAAGCAGATGAGGCAAGGAGCATTCCTTGTGAACGCAGCCAGAGGTGGTCTGGTAGATGAGAAAGTCCTAGCTCAGGCCCTCAAAGAGGGAAGGATACGAGGAGCAGCTCTCGATGTGCACGAGTCTGAGCCCTTCAGCTTCGCTCAGGGCCCATTGAAAGATGTACCAAATCTCATCTGCACGCCGCACACAGCCTGGTACAATGAACAAGCATCACTAGAGATGAGGGAAGCAGCTGCCACTGAGATCTGCCGAACAATCACAGGTCACATCCCAGAAAGCTTGCGAAACTGTGTCAACAAAGAATTCTTCGTTACTTCTGCTCCGTGGTCAGTCATCGACCAGCAAACAATTCATCCCAAGCTCAATGGTGCCACATACAGGTATCCCACTTCTTACACCAGATATAGTGGGAAATTACCAATATGGAGTCAGGTAGAAATACAAGGGTATTTAATAGGGGAAAGCCTTACTTACAGAGCGACCTAGCCAGCCAGCATGGCATCAGTCTGTCCAGCAAGTACAAAGTGAAACCAAAAGAGATCGCTGTTCTACGTCACCCTGACCACGCCCTTGCAAGTGTGGTTAGGTACACCTGTAGCCAGCCCCTAAATAGGTGCGGCTACAGCTTCCCCTACAGCCTAACTGTAGATGTTACCTTTCTACACTCTTTCAGTAAATTTCGTAGGCAGTTAACTCCCATAGTCAAGTGCTGAGAAGCACTGTGTGGCTGTGAAAGAAAATGCTTGCTCCAGTCTAGATTTATGCTCTGGTTTCTGCAAGAGGTTGCATGGCTCCTGTGTCCAGCTAACCTTAGACTAATTGTACAATTAATGTTGTAACAGAAAGTCTCTAAGCTAGCACAGATTCTCCTGTGATGTGATTAACTCCTGGGACACCAGGCAGCAGGCATTAGGCACAAAGTGCAAACTAGTTAATGTTGGAGGACAAGAAAGAGGCCAGGCCAGGCCATGTAATAAAAAAAAAAAGTTCCACTGAATCAGTAGTATACCCAAGCTAGATCTTACAACTTTCCTCTCCTTGTCCCCTGGTTGTTCAGTAAGAGGTGAGACAGTTCCAGAAAGTAAAAGGTCACCATAATTATACAGACATAGACATGAAACAAGTGAGAACATTTCAACAGACAGTCAGTTCCATCTGCTCCCACCTCATTGGTCTTAGGGACCTGGTACAGTCTGCTTTCTCACTCATTCTTTGATTTACAGCTAGAGGAAGCATGGCTGATATAGGCCCATGGTGATGAAATTGCTTAATTTGTAACATTGCCATCAAAACCTGAATATAAGACATGTGAGAATATTAAATACACACACACACACACACACACACACACACACACACACACAGCAGAAGGGCACTAAAATAGTTGATAGGGCTGGAGAGATGGCTCAGAGGTTAAGAACACTGGCTGCTCTTCCAGAGGTCCTGAGTTCAATTCCTAGCAACCACATGGTGGCTCCCAACCATCTGTAATGTAGTCTGGTGCCCTCTTCTGGACTGTAAGGGATACATGCAGGCAGAACACTGTATGCATAATAAATAAATCTAAAAAAAATAGTTGATAATAAATTAGTGGAGCTCTATCTATATTTTTGGAAATAAATAAAAAAAGATACCTTGCTAGAATCAAGAGTCATCCTTCAAAATCCCCTTTTAAATGTAGAATATGCATTTTTATGAAAGTACTCTGTTTAATATTTTGTGAGTTTTTTTATGACATTTGTTATTATGAAACGGCAAAAGGCACAAGAGAGTACAAGCCTTACCTGAATGAAATCAGAAAATATGTTCAGGCATTCTTTTGGCAGCCCTTCCTGGATACTCTTGAAGGCCAAAGCTAGCAGATTTTGACAGGTCTGTCAAGAGAATCTGAAAGACACGTGGGATTTAAAGTCTCCTTCAATTTTGAGTGCAGTTGTGGAAAACTATCCTTTGTGGTGAAGAGAGTGCATAAGAAAGGATGGACTGCAGCACCATGCCTTGGAACTATTCTGGAAATACCGAGCAATCGTGTGTAATGCTTTAAGCCCTAGTATCCAGGGTGTCCCCCAAAATTTCTTTGAGGACTTGCTAAGTAGAAAATTAGCTTAGAGTAGACATTGAGAAGTCAGTAGTGTCCAATCACAATGTCAGTTAGTACATTACAGAGTCTCAGGTCATTGCATGTACAATCTCTCATGTTTGAGACTACAGCTTCCTGATTTATCTTTATTACACAGGAACTCCCAACCTCACTTGTGTAACACTTTGAAATGGAAACCATCATAGGATATGCTGCTTGCTGGCATGTGCTGTAAGCATTGTTTCTCTTTTAGAGTTGCCAAGGATGGCCAGCAGCTAGTAATTTTCTTCTTAAAATACTTTCAAGTTTGGTTTGAGTAGCATTAAGTGAATTTAAAACACATGCTCAGTGAATTCTATAAGTTCGTCTTTTAGATTATTCAGTGAGGCTTCTCTCTTACTTTTCCATGACACACTAGTTTAAAAGGTTAGCTAAGTGTCCCATCTTGTGACAGGACAGGTGTCACCACCCTACTTGGAGTGAATTCTGGGGTCTCTCTATTCCAGTGGGCAGAGCAGATGGGCAGAAAGTGCCATTTGGGCCAGTGATTTATTTATAATCTTTAGGTTTATCTATAATCTTTAGAATATTGTCAGGGCATTAGAAGTCTTCCCAGTGGCTCCAGCCTGAGATTCAGATATTTGTCTTCTTTACCAACCTTGTCCTGGAGATGAAAGCGGTGCTTTGCTGGATTAAGCTGTTAATGATTAAGTGATTCAAGAGATTATTATGACAGCCAAACCAAGCTTCTTTTTCAGGGAATAAATACTGACATTGAGCAAATTTCTGACATAGCAGGAAGAAAAAAAATACCTACTGCCATGAACAATAAGATGGTAAATTAGAAAGTGTTCTGAAATTTCAACCTCTGCATACCATCAAACCTGTATTCCCACTCCACTTTTCTTTGGCTTTCTTTTCTTTTCTCTCTCTCATACAATACATCCTGACTGCAGTTTCCCCTCCCTCCACTAATCTCAGCCATCCCCCCAAATCTCCCATGTCCCAAAGATCCTCTCTTCCTTCGTTTCCCTTCAGAAAAGGGCAGGCCTCCACAAGATATCACCCAAAAATGGCACAATACGTTTCAGTAAGACTAGGCACAAACCCTCATTTCAAGTCTGGACAAGGCAACCCAGTAGAAGGCAAAGAGTCTCAAGAATAGTCGAAAGAGTCAGAGAGATTCCCCTGCCATTAGGATTTCCACAAGAACACCAAGCTACACAAGCATAGCATATATGCAGAGAACTTAGCACAGACCTGTGCAGGGTCTGTGATTACCACTTTAGTCTCTGTGAACCCCTATGGGCCTTCTTAGTTGATTCTGTGTGCCATGCTCTCCTGATGTCGTTTACCCCTTTGTTTCCCACAACCCTTCCTCCCCCTCTTCTGTGGGGCTCTCCAAGTTCCTCCTAATGTTTGTCTGTGGGTGTTTACATCTGTTTCCATCAACTACTGGATGAAGCCTCTCTGATGACATTTGAGGTAGGGACCTATCTAAGAATATAGAAGAATAGCTTTAGTATTTTGTATTTAGTATTTTAGTATTTAGTATTTTAATACTTTTTAATATTTTGCCAGTAGTGTTAGGTTCTACCCTAGGTCTCTGGCTATCTAGCCTCCTAGTCCTTGTCATCCAGGTGTGTCTGGAATGGGCTCCTTCTCTTGGCATGGGCCTCTAGTTGGCTTTCTCTATTCTTGTCATTTACTCATAACTTATTTGATATAATGTGGAAGATCATAAAATACAAGTTATCTTCAATTTAACCTGACTTGACTGAATACCTGTGTATATATGAGTTCTTGTCTCCAATTTCACCTGATAAATAAATCTTGTACATGTATATGTGTTCTACATATACTGAGTCATTCATGTTTTGATTGGAATAGTGAAATCAATCCTATATCTATGATTGTCTTAGTTTTTGTTTGTTTATTTGCATTTCATTTTGGGTCCTGAACTTGGATTTGGAAGCCTGGGTTCCTGTTACATCAAGGCAATATGTGAGAAGATTCAGTTCCCCAGATCATTTGTGGTGCTTTAATCCTTTAGAAAAATTTTTCAATGCTGTTTACACCAGGATATTTCTTATACAAACCCTCTTTACACATGCAAAAATAACATAGGCAGGAACTATTTGCTTTTGATCTCTGCAGACAAGATGTGCAGGTCTCTTTGGGGGGTTTTCTGTCTTTTATACTTACTAGGAGGAGATTAATAAAATATCTCTATGCTATCTGATGTGCAATTGGTTGTATAGCTGTTTTGCTTTTGATCAAGTTAAGGGAGGATAAGAGAGTACAGCATCCATAAAGGCAACGCTTATGGAACAGGACAGATGCCACAGTGCAGAGCAACACTTGTAACATCTAGCTGGACTAACACTTTCTCCAGAAACTCTGACAACATTGCCTGGGTGATTTGTCTTCATTTTATTCCTGTAGTCATGTGGATGTGTGTAGTGGTCTTCATCTGCACCAAGTTCTTAATTTATCCATATTTTAACTTATCAAATCATGGGCTTAGCAGTTATCTATGGAAATCTTTCTTTCAATTAATCAGTATGACATCATTTAATGTCCCTCTGTTCATGAGAAATAGTCCCAAAAATAGTAAGAAAATTGAGGTTATGTTTTGTATGTGGTCTCTAAAATCAGTACACCAAAAACAAGAGTATTTGGTATTATTCAATGTTTGGTTATCACATCCAATGAAGGACTTATTCACTGTTCAGTTTCTACAAATGCACAGTAAATGTGTGAGTAGGATGCCATCCTAGAGCCTTCATCCAGTAGCTGTTGGAAGCAGAAGCAGGGAGAAACCTTTTAAATGAATAGACGTATATTTGATAAAGACTCATTTTATGAACTCTGTAACTTAAAAAAAACAAGTGACATAGCTTTAAGTTTTTTTTATTTTAAATTATGTGTATATAGGAGTATATGTTCTCATGGTTACAGATGTCTTCAAATGTCAGAAGAGAACTTCAGTTTCTCCAGTTCCTCTAGAGTCGGGGTTACAGGTGGCTAGCTTCTCAGAACCAAATCCGAGTCCTTTGAAAGAGCAGTTAAACACTCCAGTTCCAAGCATTTTTTTGGTTATTTCGTAATACATACCTTGATACTACATTGTGATTTTCTTGCAAGTTCTTTCATAACTTTTGTTTATTTATACTATGGTTTTATTCAGCTTAAAATTCTTTAAGAAACCATTTGTTGGGTTTATTTTCTGGCTGATTATCTAGCAATATTTGCTGATTAGTTACAACTAATTAAGATATCTATTTCATTTCAGTAAGATGTGTCAACATATTTTGGTCTATTACTATTCTCCCTGCTGGGTTATTCTGGTGGTTGAGCTTATCCAAACAAAATCACTGAAGACTTACTGGACCTAGATTCAGAAGGAAATCTTTCAATGTTTTTGTAAAACTTGATCATTTCTTAGTTTTGTATACTACCTACTGTACCTGGCTTAACAACATCTAACTGGATATTGACAAACAATGTTGCTTGAAGAATAGCTTGTGTGCTTCTCCGGGCTGATTTGTATCTTATCTATCTTTAGATCTTGATATCTTTCTAAATTGAAAACCCAGCTGCCACACAAATACTCAGATTTCATAAGATCTCTGTCTTGTCTTTTCCAGGGTGAAGTCTTAGCCTGTTTCATCTGCTGTATCATTGTATGCTCTGCAGTGGGTGTTGTAGAAATTCCACAGCCCACTTCTTAGTTGAAAGCATGTGAGGTGGCTCAGAGCCCTTGCTCCCCTTTCGGCAAGGATTTCACGGAACTGTTGAATTCTAAATGCCAGCTTCCTGCCTAAGTTAAGGCTCCTTTCAAGCCATACCATATGCAGCAGAAAAGCCTTGTTCATCACATGGGAAAGCTCTAAAAGGTTCTGGGAGAGTGGTATGCACCTGGAAGTCTGTCCATCATTCCCTCCCTCCCTGCTGACATATTGGGTATTGATGGATTTTTACCTGAACATAAAGATTGTTTGTAAGGCTATGCATGTCAAGCCCACAGCTATTGCAACCATGGTGACAAGATGATAGCTTTCCTCTAATATCAAACAAAATACTAGAAGTTTATAGCAGAGAAATTACTCAAGAAAGTAAACAAAAAACTTAATAGGAAATAGAAATGGTTAAGTTGTCTATAGATAGCATAATCTTACATGGAAATGTTAGCTTATGTTTTGTTAAAAATTGTGAGAGCTGATAATAATGAAAAGTTTTCATAGTATTCAAATTTTGTTATTTTACTTTAAACTTCTTGTATTTTTCTGTACATTCTACTGAAATTTTTGCATGCAGAATCTATATGGATAATAAGTGTTTTATTTTCTTTCAAAACTTGGTATGCCACTATTTTTTTCTTGCCTCACTGAATGGGTGAACTTACATTAATATATAGAATAAATAGGGGAAGCCTTCCTGAACCTATGTTCAAAGTGACAGCTATGAATGTTTCTCTGTCAAATTATTTTTGTATATTTGTATATGGTCTGCTCCTGTTGCATTCATAACATTTAGAACATTATTATTTGTCATTAAGCCTGAATGCCTTTTGAATGGATTTTAGTCTCTATAACAATGAATATGATTTGTTTATAAAAATATTTCATTTTTATCATTTCTGTGAAGATATGCCAAATTGAGTGCATTCATGAAATTAGCATTAATCTAATAATTGCTTCTTGGTTTAATTATTTTTTGTGTGTGTGACAGGGTCTTACACTGAAGCCCAGACTGGTGTTGAATTCACTATGTTGCTCAACTGGTTCTTAATTCTTATCGAAATAAGAATTCTTTACAGAAAAAATTATTTTCTGAAAAAGTAGTATTATTACTTCATTCAATATTTGTTAAAATTTACTGTATTACTTCCATACCATGGGATTTTCTTTAAGGAAATATTGTAGTAATTAATTGAATTTGTTTAGAATTTGCATCACAGAACCTTTTTCCAGCAGCTAATGGAAGCAAAAGCAGAGATTCACAGCTAAGCACTGAGCTGAATTCCTGGAACCCAGTTTTAGAGAGGAAGGAGAGATAAAGAAAAGGGGTAAAGACCATGTTGGGGAAATGCACAGAAACGGCTGACCTGAGAAATTGGGAGCTCACAGAATCCAGACTGGACAGCTGGGGAACCAGGCCTAAACCAGGCCTCCTGACTGTGGGTG